TGTGTGTGTGTGTGTGTGGTGGGGGGGGGGAGACGGGGGGAGACATTGGATTTTTCAACAAAATGTGACTATACAATAATCCATGGAGTTCCACGAGAAATTAAAACCACCTTTGCAGTCTTTTACCAAAATATGACTATCTGCAATATGAAAACTTAACTGTTTCCACTTACCCGATTGTCATCTGCCGGCCCTTCAAACCCAAGCGGCTGAGAACTTTCTGAATTCAGCGCCATATCCATGTCCCGCGACAAATTGTGGAATTTCAAGTATTTACATATCTATTAATGGCTTTATGATTACTCTAATAAATAAACTCCAAAGATTTACCGCTAATTCTGTACAATGAATCTACACATTCTCGACATCCAAATCCTTAAAAGGCACAAAAAAATGCCACTCAATAAAATCCCCCCACATCTGGTCATGTGACAGCTCAAAATGGCGGAGGGTGAGTACTTCCGTTTTTATCGAACGATCGTTTTAAACAAGTAAATTAAGGTAAAATGTATCTCAAGAGGAAAAGAGTAATGTAGCAAAAAAGTAAATCGCACAGAAGAATACAATAAGATAATTTTTCATTCTCCAAATTGCACTCCAAGTGAAAACCGACGTCCTTTTAATCCGCCGCCTTGTTCAACCGTGTACAGTGTATGTAGATGTACCAGTACATGTATGAGTAACGTTACAACTTATACAACATGTATATCTAGTACAGACGGTACGCTGCATGCCTGTGCTCTGTGAAAAATGTAATTATAAAATAAAATTATAATAATTGCCACATTGTACTTTAGGCATCTTTAGAGTCTTTTGTACAGTATGTGTGGGTATTTGTAATTTGTTTTATGATAATGATGCTAATGTATGCTTTTAGTTTAGGAAAAATGAAGGTGCATAATTATATTTCTCAACATGTTTATGCAGATATTTCCGTTAGTTATATATATATATATATATATATATATATATAAACTTATATACATGTATTGTGGGGTAATTAATAAATGAATTAAATGGCAGATTGAGGAGGTGGTATTTTGTGTGCCAAGTTTGAAAGCAAATTCACATAAAATTGCAAAAGAATTTAATTTAAATGCTCCATGTTGAAAACATTTATGTAGCAGTGTTTGTAAATTAAAGCAACATTGGAATTCAGGATTATACATGCATGCTTATAAAGCATGATTATAGGTTTTATTCTATGTGTAGAATATGTGTATTTAGTGGACAGTGTCACAGTGACTGACACAATGTTTTGAAAGGATGAAAAACAAAGAGAGCATTGTGCATGGAGGAAAAGTGTGTGTTCACCAACAGGACTTCCTAGGGAAACTTTTGAGTATACAATGAAATTTATTCTAAATGGGTTTGGTTTCTAACTTATTTCTACCATCCCCTTCTTAAAGGTACATGTATCTTATCCAGGATTTTACCAACATATTGAATTTTCCTCAAAAACATTTACAATGTAACAATTTTCTCCTTCATACAAGAACTGCTTGATGCATCCCCACAATTGTATTTGATTTTTTATACTATTGGTTATTGAATAATTTAGTTCTGCTTCCCATAGGACAGTGCAAGACAACAGCATCAAGTACAGTACAATGTATACTGTACATGTACTTAATTTGAGGGGTTGCATCTGTTTTAAGGAAATAGCTATAGAAGGGAATACCTTTAATTATTTCTGAATTCCAGCTGAAGTTGTTAAACTTCAAAGCCACCTGCGTCTTCTACGGGAAGAGTATGTCAAACTTCAGTCAAAATATGCAGAACTTGAGAAAAAATACCAGGTGGCAGTGGCAGCATCAGGACAAACCAGTGGCAGTAGCTTCATTTCCAGGCTTCTAACCACCATTGCAGACTTATTTGACAAAGAATTATACAGGTTTGGTATATTTTTATTATTTAATTGAAGTTAATTATCCATTGTTACTTTTATCAATGAGTAAAGAAATTTATCGTGGGCACAAAAAGTAAAATAAATAGATAAGGGTGTTTCACTATTTCATTATTTTTTTTCTTTGAAAAAATACCCAAAAATTAGATGTGGCTATTAGGTTTCATTAGTTTACACCAGAGAACCTGACATGTTCTGACAAACTGACCTCAGGAGACCAGGTGTAACAATTATAGTTTGACCTAGTGGATAATTCTGATAAGATTTAAGAGGAGTTCAAAGTGAAGGAATGTAGATAATTTTATTGTAAGGCAGATATATTGGCATTAGTAAGTATGTACAACATATGGAATTAACCCAATAAATCAGCAACTACTTGAAACACTCATAATTAAAAATTTTCATTTTGATGGGTAGAAATTATCAGATTAAATGACAAATTAAAAACTGGATTTTAGAAAATAAATTATGTTTGTGTTAACATTTCAGTGACCTGACTATCCACTTAGATGGTCAGCAGCTCCATGCCCACAGGTTTGTCCTTGCAGCCAGGAGTGACCACTGGGGAGTGCCAGACCTGGGGGCAGTCACAGAACTGGACCTAACTGGTCAGTCAAAAAGGGACAGTTTTGTTCTGGATGTGGTTTAATTTCTTTTCACTGATGTAAATGCAGTCCTCTGATTAATCAAAAAGCAGGGCACTTAGAGTAGCAATATGTTTATTTATTTATGAATTTATTTATGCATTTGATTTATTAATACAGAGTATATTTCTTTTAATGGTATATTGCATTCTGTTATCTTTGTTTTGGATACCTTCCTCTATTGGACACTTCTTATTGTTCAGAAAATAATTTTTTTTAAACTATCATATAGAAGAATTAATAGACCTTCATTATGTGCTGAAGGAGGCTTGTGAAGGATCCAAAAACTTCTTAACTGTTATCAGCATGTTTCATTATTTTGTGTTAAAGGTTAATCATTTGCCTGTTGTTTAGGTATAAACCATGAGGTCTCATTTGCTCTGGTAAAATGGGCATACACAGATCAGATTGACATCAAGTCAGATGATACTTTCCTCTTGGAATTGTTGAAGGCAGCCAGCAACTTTAAACTTGATACTCTGAAAAATAGGTAAATATTTGGCTAAAATAATTTTACTGCAAGAAAATTAAATTCCTCCTAAAGAGATTTTTACCTTCTTTACACAAGCAACAATGAAAAATGTACTTCACTGCAAGAAAATTGTTTTATTTGCTTCAAAACTATTCACTGCAATGCAACCAGACTTCATAATTAACATGATATTGAAAGAATATATCATTAGCATGATATTGAAAAAAAAATTAAAGTTTGGTTAACATTTTTCATTAAGTCAAATGTGTTTTTTGTGTTTGTGTTAGGTCTGTAATTCTTTCTATGTGGAATTTCTCAAGAACTCTATATTATCTTCTCTGGTTGCAGGTGTGAGCAGGCTCTCATGTCCTCAGTCAGTGTGAAGAATTGTATCAGATATTACCAGACGGCTGAGGAAATCGGTGCTGAATTACTGAAAAAACATTGCTCAGAGCTGATTTCTAACCATTGGGTAAAGATAAATCATGAAAAACGTACAGTTTTAATTTTGGTTAGAATTGATGTTGCTATATATGATAACCATGCAGTGATATTATTCCATGTAAAGAATTCTGAATGAATTTTAATAACAAAACAGGAATATACTGTGTCTGTTGTCTATATTATGACAAAATAATTCATTGTTTTCCTTATGCTCAACTTGTCACAATCAGCAACTACTTCATCATATTAAAAGTTCACTATTTAAGCCTATTTTAACATTAAAATTACTGTTTATTGCTTCATTTTTTAGAATGACTTCACAAGTGAAGATTTTGCCTGTATGCCAGCTCCATTGTTATACAGTATGTTTAAAACCAAGACCCAGTACCCTCTGCACACAGCTATCCGCACTCAGAGGGAGGATGTGGTCTTCCTATATCTCATTGAATTTGATTCTCTGGTAAGAAACAAAACCATGCCTATGTACTAGTTTGGAATAGTGTCACTTTAACATTGGTTAAACTTTTACAGTTGGTTAACAATTTTGTTGATAATCTGTTGGCAGATTTTGCAACAATATCTATGAAATACAGGAGTAAGTAGTTTTATTTTAACAACAACACTTTTCACTTATCAGAAATGCAAGTGTTATTGGTATCATTCTTCTTTTGATTTTAATTCTGTTTAATAATTAAGGAAGAATAATATAAACCCATGTGATAAAAAAGTTCGTGTTCTCATGAAATGGTTCTATTAAGAAGCAACAAAAAACTTAAAAATTGATAAATTAATAAATCTTCAGAGCTTTAAAAGATTTGCTGGTTTTATTTTATTTTATAGCTGCCAGGGAAGTTGAATGAATTGGACAACAGAGGGGATTTGCCTTTGGACCTTGCTCTTCAAGCTAAACAAGAAAGTATAGCCCAAACACTCGTAGGGCATAAAGTAGATGTTAATAAAACTGACAACTCTGGAAGATGCTTGCTACATAAAGCTATCAGAAGAGGTATAAGGTTTCTTTGTGAGATGTACATATTTCGCTCAGTGATTAGATCTTTTAGAATATATGCTCTTGAAGCAGAAACCAATTTTTGTTCTCTGAATTTGATGCCAGGTTATGAATGTGTTATAAATGTGATACTGCCCTATGGTTTACATTTTTGTACTTATAGGATTTTTTTTCCTCTATTATTTGATGATGATCAGTCTTACAGTGTAAATTTAGTCTGTTTTTGAGTATCACTTGCAATATTTTGATATTCTGTGAAGATATTTTTTATGTTCATAAGTTTCATCATAGGTTAACTTTATTGAAGACATTTATATATTTAGGAGATGAATTCTCAGCCAGCTTCCTAATCAAAAATGGTGCCAATGTGAACGCTGCCTCCCACATAGAGAAGGAGACAGCCCTGCACATGGTGGCCTCCTTCAACCCAGACGTCACATCCCCAGACACTCTGGCAGGCATGGCCAGGATAGCAAAACAGCTCCTGGAGGCTGGGGCAGACACCAGTGCTCAGGACACTGCTGGAAAGTAAGGGTTTTTCATAGCTTACTACTATTATGAAAAAGTTGAAAAGTGAAAAAAATCAGAGCAATGAAAATTATTCTTAAATTGTATTGCATATAGCCTTTGTTTATGTTTTAACACTGAATCTTTGTTACTTAGAGCTTTACCATTTTTGGAAATGAAACTTTGTGATATTTTTCAGTAGAGATTTCATATATGCAATATGTAAGACTAGAATGGTGATCAGTTTGAATTTTTGTATGTTAATTTAAATCTACTAGTTTTAAAGCATACAGTACATGTATACCAGAAGTACATCCACATTTTTTTTTCAGTACTCCACTTCATAGAGCAGTATCATCAAAGCATGAGGCAGTGTTCAGCACTCTCTTATCTCAAAACAACCTGAAACTAGAGCTGCAAAATGCGGATGGTCAAACTGTGTTGTGGCTAGGGCTGCTGGACAGTGCTGGACAGAGTATAGATGACAACAGCTTTGCTGCAAGGCTCATTAAGGCTGGAAGTTCACCTGATGCTGTTAACAGTGAAACAGGTACCCAGCACTAGTATTATGAGGTTGACTGTTCTGGTGGTTCTTGAAATAATGAAAAATTGAAGTTAAGTGTTAAATGTGTACTGTAAACATGCTGAAAGGCATCTGGGTTTACTTCAAGTTGTAGCCTTGCTCTCTTCAAGCTCTGCATGTGCATCTGCAGCACAATTTCAAGAAAAACTACTACAAAAAAAAACGGACAAAATTCACACATAATAAGATACATAAATAGCACTGCAGTATGAGATCTTTCAAATGATGTACAGGCCTGAGCATTTGTTGTATAAATGATGTTTTATAGTAGTTGACTATGATGTAGTATTTAGTTCCTTGCAGGGTACATGTATATAATATGGTCCTATCAATTGTCATTTGATTGTTTAAGGTGACTGCCTGTTACACTTGACCAGCAGAGCAGGGATGGAAGCAGCAGCTTTGTTTTTAGTGAGCCATGGTGCTAAGCTGAACCTGATTAATGCAAAGGTATGGTGGTATAAATGACCCGTTCACTTAGAATTACAGTGGTGCTTTCATTTTATGTACACAATTGTTGTGTAGCAGGCCAGTAGCCAGCAATTTCAAAAGGGGGGTCTTTTTCTGAAAAGGTGGACTTTTACAATGAAACCCTTGTCTGGGGTGGTGCTAGCAATTATTTTCATTTAGCCAAAATGCTACTTTTTCATAACTTTTATGTACAAATGGTTTAAATTTGACTAAAATAAGTCAAATAACCCTATTTTGTTTAGCCAATTCAGTCAGTTTTAGCATTTGGCTAAATTGGCAAGTGTTAGCACTACCCCAGCTTGTGTACCTAGATCAAATTTTACCCAGAATGTACTTTTTCCCAGCAAAAAGGGCAGTTATTTTGAACACCCCCCACCCCCAAACCCATCCTGGCTACGGGCTTGTGTAGTAAATAAACAGTTGATCAAAAATTGTGAATTGGCTAGTTTTTGAAGTCATTTCATTAAGTGCTGAATGATGTATGTATCTATATTGAAAGGTGGGCAAGTAAAAAATTGATTGTGTAAAACAGCACCGTACCTCAGAAGTCATGAGGTAATTGGCTTGTGGGGGTGCTTTATTTGCAATCTGACTCAAATTTTGATTCTTACTGAAAACTACCAGACTATCCTGCCTAATCAAGTTGACAACTCTAGCTGCTATTTTATATATGTTCAGGGTGAGGCCCCACTTCACACAGCAGCACAGAAGGGACTGGCAGAGTTGGCTGCCATGTTACTGGCCAAGGGAGCCAATCCTAACAGTCAGACCACCGCCAATCTTGACACTACCATGGCAACACTAGGATTTGAAGAGGAATCCCCGCCTGTTAGCAAGCAAACACCACTTCACCTAGCTATTCTTAACAAGCATGTCAACGTAGTAAGAGTTCTCTTGGAGCACAAAGGTATAATATTTTTACTATTTTACATTGACCTGGACTGATGCATAATTTTGATTTAACATAATATTTATAAGGCTTACTTGTATCATTTCAACACAGCACAATCACATATTAAATTTGTCATAAATAAGTCACCTGTGCTTATTTAATTTGCACCATAGATAAAAAAAAGTAACCACCAAAGGAGGGGGGGTCTCAGACCACTCCCCTAGGGCAGTCTGTGTTTTATCAGTATCCACCATGATACAGGCATGATAAAACACAGAATTGCAGAACATTAATGATGCCAGATTGACTTACACTTATGTCTTATTTCATTTTCCAGAGAAAGCCACTCGTTCCACTGATAATACAACTATAATTCCAAACTTCAACATCAAGGATTCCAGAGGGCACACAGCATTAGGTTTGTCCCTGTGGAACGGCTTTAATGACATAGCAGTACAGCTGCTGAATGGGGGAGCAAACATCAACGAAAAGGATGAAGAAAATATGACACTCCTGCACCAAGCAATCATGAATCAAGATGTCCCTAGTTGTCTTTTCCTTTTAGAGAATAAAGCAGATATCAGTGCCAGGTGAAGTATTTTTGCATCTAGGTTTCAGAAAAAATCTTGCTTAGGTGTTAGTTTTGATGCTGAATTAGCAAATCAAGCACTTGAATAATAACCAATTTTTTCCTACAGTTTTTAAAAAGAAAAAGCCAGAAAATTCTGCCTCAGATAATATATGTGTGTATTTATGTATATTAGGATCATGCAATGCATTTGCATTTTTATACTTTCTGAAAATTTTTCTTGTGTGTGAAATTAAGTTCATTTTGTACAGCTGCTGTAAATAAGATGTTCTGTTTTCTCTTTTAAGAGAGATTAGTTGTGTTATTATTTTTATATTTATTTACTTTTGAATATGTATTATTTTGTTTTATTTATTTTTTTATTTAGAACTGCAGACAACGAGTCTCCCTTACAGCTTGCCATTAAGCGCCACCTGCCAGTGGTTGTAGATGCACTGTGTTCTCGCGGTGTTGACATGAATGTAATGGATGCAGAAGGCAACTGTCCACTGTGGCAAGCTCTGGAGACAGGCCAGGAGGATGTGGCTTCTATTTTGGTAGGGAAATTAGTGTTAGTTTAGAAATCTGTTTTAAAATTAAAAATGAATACAGGGTATGCAGTTCTCTCCCTTTCCACATTTTTCAAATGCAGGGTGTAACAAATTTGTTTTGGGGGATATTACAAAGGACAGTCTGTAACTTGGTTAACACCACATATCAGCTATTTGTCCTAGTCTCCCTTTGTATTTTCATTATATTATAATATTATCATATTATGAGCTGTTACTCCCTATATCCAGGTGCGCCATGGCTGTGACACCAACATGTGGGGCCCAGGTCCTGATGGATGTGAACAAACTCTGCTGCACAGAGCTATTGATGAGAACAATGAAGCTGTGGCTTGCTTCCTCATAAGAAGGTATTGGGATAGTTTTTTTAACTGTGGGGAAAATGAAGAGCTGTTATGCATTTTGTATTGAACTAATTTTTTTCCTGTTTCAGGTCTCACTTGACTTGATCTAGAAATTTTGTTAAAAGTTAATACTGCTTATTATACTTAAAGCCTGCAGTTTTGATACTGATGTCCTTTGGAATGAACATCCTAAACCAGCACTAGCTCATGCTGTGACTATCATTGTATTTGTAGCATGTGTGATGTGAACAGTCCCAGAAGACCAGGACCCAATGGAGAAGGGGGAGAGGAAGCAAGGTAATGGACAACCTTTTCTACCCATTAAACTGTAAAAACATCTGTAGTTAACATTGATTTTTAAGTTCTGTTACACAGAAAAGGATATCAAGATGAAAAATCGATATGATCAGATAATTTTTTATAATTTTTTAAGTTTTGTTTTGTTTGCATTTTGAACATTCCACAAGTCCAGAGATGTATTTTTTGTTTTAGTTTAGTTTTTATTAGGAATCTTTATTTGATAAACAGCTCAGTTTCATTTTTTACTGCTGTTGTGTTCTTGATTACCACTAATGATCCTTTACAACACATGTCAAAAGCTTTGTTGTTTAGTACATAATAGACGCCCTGAGTCTTAGAGATCACTGGAAACACCAGTGTATTATCAGCATACCTCTGCTGTTTCCAGAATCAGAAGCTTGAAAGGTAGAATGAGCTTACTGAATATATAGTTGAGTTCCCAGTAACTTCTAAAACCCAGGATGGGGGTGGATGGACTCAGGTTAAATGTTTAATGTTTGACTAGTGAATTGATGTCCACTAATGGTATTATTCTACTCTTATTGTTATAGAGATGGGCAGACCCCTCTCCACCTAGCAGCCACCTGGGGTCAAGAAATGGTGGTCCAGTGTCTCATTGAACACAATGCTGTCATCAATGCTCAGGTGAGAGTCAGGTGTTGTTACATTAACAGCTACATAGATAATCTGTGGATTTATTCAGTATCTTGTATCGTGTTGATACATGCACATGTTGATAACAAATTGAATTTCAACTAAAATACTTGTAACGACTTGAAAATATTTAAGGGTTTTTGTTTCTACAAATAAAGCTGCCTTGTCCAAAAATCACCTTGAGCATGCTCGTCTCAGTACTTTGGACAGATTCTATCCAAAAGACATTTTATGGTTTAGTTTTAATTTTTAAATGCTTTTTTAGGATGCAGAAGGAAAATCTCCAATCCATGTGGCAATCAACAACCAGCACACTGTGATCATCTCCCTGATGTTGTCTCACCCAGGACTGAACCTGGCCGCCAGGGACAGACAGGGGCAGACACCATTTGCTGCTGCCATGACAACCAAGAATAACAAAGCTGCGCAGGCTATTTTAGACCGTGAACCAAGGGCAGCGGAGCAGGTACACTGTTGTTATTTTCTTTCTGGCCTGCATTCTCAAAATCTCTTATCTTTTTGCTTAATGCTTCAGAATGTTTGAAAGTGGCAACTCTTCTTTTGCCAATTAAATGAAACAAGAAAACAATTAATTGTAATTTTTCAACAGAAATGATAGATAAAATAATACCAAAAACTTTTCCAGAAAATATATGAGATTTTAGATCAATTCCAAATTGATTTCAATTAAGCTATCTGCTAGGAATTGTTATGAATAATTTGGATGCCAGGTGCAGCTGGCAGATGCTGTGATTAAGTTAAATATACCTGTTTAACTTGTTTGACTACCTTAGTTAATTTTTCCTTTATTATTTCTTGCAGCTTGATAACCGAGGCAGAAACTTTCTGCATGTGGCCATCCAAAAGTCAGACATAGAGAGTGTCCTGTTCCTGATCAGTGTCCATGCTGATGTGAACTCCAGAGTGCAGGACTCCCACAAGTTCACTCCTCTACAGCTGGCTGTCATGGCGAGCTCTGAAATTATAGTCAGAAATCTAGTGAGTGCTTTTTCCAGAATATCTGCTTCATGTGCATCCAAATTTCACTTGTAAAAAATGGCAAAAATTGTATAAAGATCAAGACAGTGTTCTAGTATGCTGCTTGGTATTGATGATGGGTTTATCTGAATATCTTACGAAATCGGTCAAAAATTTTAAAAATATTTTTACAGTTACTTTGGCAATTAATTGAGGATGCTTACATTCATATGGCCTAGGTATGTAAGACTAAGATGTAAAGTGTGGTAAAGGGATGTTGAGAATCACCTGAATTGAAACTAATTTCCAGATCTTAGCTGGTGCTAATGTGAATGAATTGACCCCAAGCAAGCAAACGGCTTTACACCTGGCAGCAGAGAATGACCAGACCAGCAGTATTTGTAGTGTGCTCCTAGAGAATGGGGTGGACTGTGACGCTCTGGATGCAGGCATGAATAATGGTGAGGAAATCCTGGATGGAATTTTCACTGATAACAACAGCTGATGATGAATTGTACCATTTTTTTTTTCAACCCACAGGCAGTGTCATTCATCTTTCCACCAATAAAGACACACATGTGCCAACTATGTTGTGCATGTTATGCATGTTGCATTCTGGTTTAGATATGTGCACTGCTGTTTCTGGTCAAGCAGTCGTGGCTTTTTTCACTACAAGAAGTACGTAGGCATGCACACATGACAGGGGAAATGGGTTAAGGAGGGAATGTAGGTTTGAGATTTTCTCTTAAAATAAAGGTCTTGGCTTTTTTATTCCTGTCACATTCATTTAACGTATCTTCAAAATATCTAATTATGCTTGGAACACAGCTTTAACTTCATCGTGTGACGTAATATTGGGATTTTGGGGACAAAAACACCATTTTTATACACCTGATTTTCTCAGGCACCTGGACAGCTATAAACTTGCTTTTGATGTCATTATGACACTTGAACAAAGTACTACAGCATGGAGTCAGGGATTTTTCTTCAGACACTTATTGTTGATTTTATCTATAAAAACGTGAAATTACATCAAAATATTAGGGAATTTTCACTTTCAAAGTCTATAAATTAGAAAAGAGAGGATCAATCAAAATTTCTTAAAAAGCACTTTTAGAGCATACTGTTCATAATTAGCATGGTGAATTTGGTCTCCCTCAGGTGTACAGGTAGATAGTTAAAGCTTGTTAAGATAACGCTATCTCGTCAATATTGAAAGCAAAGAAAACGAGCAAAAACCCTTTCAGTGAAGTTAATTGTCCATATAAGCAAATAAAATTGTTGACAGCTTTACCTGTTATCGTTCTGACGATCGCGAAGATGGGTACTCTTTTGCCGGTTGAAATTAGCTTGTTTGCATGTATTTGGATGTCAGAAAATCTTATTTTTGTATCAATCTCACCTCCTGTTAGTAACTTCAAGGGGTTACCGCTAGCACTGCCAGAATGATTGACAGGCAATCAAGTAAGCCCTAATGACCCAAGCAATCAGTGGCCACGTCAATTGCCGTCGGGGCAAGTGTTAGGGATGCGCTCTAGGATGTGCACACAATAGCAGCATCGCATGCGGTCTTGTCCACATTCGCCAAGCGAAAAATGGTTCGAAAACACGGTCGTGTTACAGGACGCCGATCGGACCACCAACAACAAGAAATAGACGCAACCAGAAAGGCTTTGTTAGAGGAAATGTCTAAAGTTGGGTGAGTCAGGAAAAATTCTGCGATAATTGTTGAAAAAAAAAAAACACTATGTCGGCCTTTAAAGTGCGTACATGAATCCAGAACTGTACCTAGAATTGATGCTAAGGCTAATTCTCCAGCTCATAATTCGGAAAAATCAAAATGTTTATAATAAGCTCTTTCGTGACCTCAGCCTGATATAGTTCGCGCGGAGTCTAGCGATATCATTAGATTTATTTGCTTTACTTTCTTTAATGCACATGTATTGAACCTATGCGCCACCCAGTGAATAATTATGCTAGGGTGTGGGCTCAAGTCTTGTATTTACGCAAAACAATCTTGTGTGTTATTCCAGTATATTCCATACAGGTGACTTTAATAAGCAGAGAATTTCTTTATATTCCGTGAAAAATACACTAAATTTATATAAAATAATATCATGGTTGGCCAAAAAAATGTACGCACAGTGCATCCGTGCGTATGCCTAGTTACCCCCATGTATATTTTTAAAATCTAACACTAAACTGCATCGACCTGTTGGCGAAAATGGATAGAAAGAATGACGATTGTTGTCACGGGTAGCAAGCAACGGAATTTTCTTCTTTTCTTTTGCGTATCTCAAAAAGTTAACAAGAAAATCGAAAGAACGCGTGTAACAACAAGCAATATTCAAGGGAGAACGAGTATTTCGAGCAAATCCAATGTGTCGGAAAAGATTCATCTTAGCGCTGATCACAATCAAGAGAGACTATCAAAACAGCTTAAGCGGAACAATAGGCACTGCTTTGCCGATCGCTGTTTATGACAAAGGGGGCATGGCGCATCCCTGTTCTATTGTTTCCCTAGACGTGCTGATGCTGCTAAGGTCCGCCCACCGAGTTTACCCATGCCAACGGCCCTTGACAACGAAGGCGGGGCATATACCAGGCCACCGCTGTCGATGTGTGCAGCATCAGAATAATCAGAAAAAACAAATTTTTTGTTCAAAATGTAAAAATTTTATTCTGTTAAACGTTAGATACACGTTTAACCAATAATTAGACATAAAAAACCAAAAATGGCTATTTTTAGCTATATTTGGGTACATCCGCTCCTTAACTGCGCATGCCTGACATTACCTGTGGAAATATGAATTGGCTAAGTTTATACAGGCAGCTATGGCAAAGGAGATAACATGAGACACTTGCTGGTCGTACTGTTCAATCTTATTTTATTGGATATAAGGTGACATTGAAGCAGCTGTCAGGCCTCTTCTAAACTAGATTTGAGTCTGAAATTTTGTTTGCACTATCTTTATAAACTAAGTTTGTCTCTATATATAACCACAATTTCCTCCATCTTTGCACTCAGACAGGATTTCAGCAAAGTACAGCCTTGAAATTGCTTGAAATGTAGTGTGAACGTTTGAATGTTCTAAAGACATTTCAGTTGAGCATTACTGTGTTTTCAAATTATTTACTATTTCAGCCCTCCATGTAGCAGTCCAGCATGGCAATCTCAATGTGTGCCGAGTGCTGCTTACTGAGTCGAGGATTAATGCTGAAGCCATCAACATGAAGTAAGACTTCATTTTGTTTGATTGGTTGTATTTTACATTATCCCAAGAACTGTATAAAAGTTACATTCATTTAACATTGTTCTTGGTTAATTTTAAATTTTGGTATTTATTAACCAATATTGAGCAGAATTTTATACTTGATATCAATTTATTTCATATTATTAATCCAGGGGACAGACGCCAATGCATGTACTGGGTCAGTATGGAAGGGAGAACGCTGCGGCCATTTTTGAGTTCTTTTTAGAATGCATGCCAGAATATCCTATAGATAAACCTGATGCTGAGGGAAACACAGGTATGCAACTTTCATGTTTTGTCCATATTACATGTATATGTTTATGGCATATAAAAAAAGAATTAAAATTGTAATGTTGACAATAGTTCTTTTTGAGCTTGTTGTAGTGCAAGGTCAATTTTTTATGGTATAGCATTAGAACAATTTATTTGCATTCTCAATATATTTTGTTCCCTTTATTTTTTTGACGGTATATGTTCATAAATAAAAAAATAATATAGCCTTAAGTTGATTGTCATTTTTAATTATCATAATTAATTTCAAGAAATCAATTTAATAGCAGTAAATTTGGATTTTCAATTTATGTAGCATCTGTCTCTAGCATTTTGACAATTGGCATTCCTCTGTCTCAAAGACATGAGGTAAGGATGGTGATTTTCAGTACAACATCTTTTTTGTTTCAGTTCTTTTGCTGGCGTACTTAAATGGCAATGGACACTTATGTCGTGCAATTGTCCGTGCTGGTGCTATGATGGGCAATGTGAACAGACAAGGGATGTCTATATTCAATGCACCTGTAGCTACCAAACAGTTACTATTCAAGCTGTTAGGTAAAGATAAATGTGCTTTGTTAAATTATTCAAGTTCTGTTTCATAATTTAAATTCGGGCTCAAAGAAAAAGAAAGGAAAATACATTAGAATATTTTAAGTCAGACTTGTACTGAAGTAGAAAGACTAAAAGAATAGATCTTGGAATTAGATATAAAAGATGATTTTAGTTTGTTTTTTTTTAATTGCAAATATTAGATGAGGCAAAAAAGTGAAAATTTAGATAAAGATTTGAGGAGTTTGAGGCTTTCTCTATGTAGTTTGATACGTATACATATGTGCAATTTGATAAGTAATGATGCCCATTCTTCAAACAGATATGCTAGCCAAGGAGCCTCCCTGGACAGATGGAGAAAATTGCGAGGAATGTGCAACTAAATTCGGAATTAAAACCAGAAAACATCATTGGTTTGTATCCAAATTTAATTATGTATTATGTATCAGTTCTATATGTACAATTTTATGTATCATGAGAAGTTAACAGAACTTTTAACTTTTAAAACATATTTTTGTTAGGTATTATTAAAATACCTCGTAAGATCTCAGCATGGACATAATGATCTCAGTAATCATGAATATAACCAACTGTTATTTTTCTTTTCAACTATTTCAGTCGTCACTGTGGTCGTCTGTTGTGCAATAAGTGTTCAGATAAGGATATCCCTATCATCAAATATAACCAGCCCAAGCCAGTCCGTGTTTGCCAGATCTGTTTTGATGTACTTACACTAGGAGGAGAGATGTAGGCAGAAATCCCCGGATGAATTATTTCAAACCCATTTCAGCTCCGCTTTGTTCTTGTTATGCAGTGACAAAGATGTTTAGTTGCTTTCATAGCGTACTTCACGTCAACTTGTTGTATTTATGAACTAAGAATGAACAAAAAATGTGTGTTAGAATTCTAGCTATATCTAGTTGACCACCATATGAAAGTCATATAGTTGTGTTGACAGAAACTAGCTGTGTATCTTGCTGAATGGAGATAGTAAGGGAGAAGCTAACATTCTAGATACTTGACAAAAATTGAATGAAAACCCATTCCTATTGGACATGTTAAAACCAAAACCCAAACTAAGGTTGCTGTAGAGAAACCAAAACCCAAATTGAGCAACTTGAAACAAATGAGAAAATTTTGTGTATTAAAATATAAATCCTGTATTGTTTTAATGCTGATTGACAACAGAATTTTTCACAAATGCATATCATTTGTTGTGAAGTATGAAGAAGTCTCTCTTTGTCAGTGTTCACTGGTACATTTATATCAGTGCCACCTAAATTATAGCAATTTGTAATTTTTTTTTCATATTCCTATCTTATCTAGTTGTATGTTGACTTCATAATTACACAATGTTTGCTAGTTGGAAAGTAAGTGTAGTGTACAGGTAGTGTTCATGTACAGTTCTTTTGTCCTCATGTGGGACAGCCATAGGTGTTCAAGTAGACTATAGGTTTTCTTCTAATTTATTTCCATTAGAATGGAAAAATTATGCCCAATTTTTTGCTAAGGTTAGCAACAAGCACACAAATTCAGATATTTGTAATTTTGGAAGCATATTCCATTCACTGTTGTTAAGCTTATTGTTAAAGGCTCTTGCTTGTTTTTCAACAAAACCATACTGCTTCAGATCATAGAAATATGTTAACTATCACAAAAATTGATGAAAATAATGGATCAAAAAGGTACCAAATCCGGATCAAAGTACGCAAATAGGATCACCAGAAATCTGTTTAAGCGCCAAAAGTACGTGGACTTGTAATCCTGATAATGTCAATTTAATGTATAAAGTTGAATTTTGAAATCCCAAGAAAGGCATTTCATGACTTTAAGTGAATATTGCCTTCCTCTGGCGTTCTCTGTCATAATACTAAACTGCAAATTGAATCCATTAAAGTCAAATTTAAAGTAAATACAATTTTATTTGATACCTGGACTTAAATTAACAGTAGAGGGTAAAAGGATTTGTTACCTTATAGCCTCTTTCAAAAAGCATTACCTCTAGCTATTTTACGTTCAGCTTCTTATTTAAGTACTAAATATTTAAAACTTTCATATCAGTGATGTCAGACTAGTCGTTTTAATTCTTTTTTGTCTTTTTATCATGGTCAATAAAGTTTTCCAGTAACAATTTAGATTTAAAATGTCAGGTACACACGTTATCCAGTTTTCTCGTGTCAATAAATATTGTGAATAGAAGTGGGTTTTATACCAGTTATTCGTAATTTGTATTGTGGTATTACTTGAGACGGAAGACTTGACGTGTCACATAAAAACGTAAAGGACAGTATTTACCAATTATTATTTCATACCAAGGACTTTTTAAATAGCAGACGAACTTGCATATAACGAATTTTAGATAAGGAACGTCCCCAGCTTGAAGTAGAATTAATATCGGCAAAAGGCTGCATTGAACTCGATGTCCTCAAATAGATTCAAAAAGATAAAAAAAAATCTTGAGCAAGTTTGTCCGTGACTCTCGTCTGCATTTCTGTCCTTTCTGTCCTTCAACAATTTCACTGGTTACCTATTAGGGCACGGACTACTCCTAGGCATATAAAGGAATTGAGGACATGTATTTTATGGAAATTTTACACCTAAGATTCTACAGGGTATGACTTTCACGTGTTTAAATGATGTTTAGTGACCCTTCGTTTATAAGGAAATAACGTTCAACTTTTAATGAACTTCTATTGAAAATAGGGAGTTGGAATTTGCCCAATATTTCATGACGCGGCCAACTTTAACTGATTCAGGAAGGATCCTTTGCGCATAAACTAACATATGTGCAGAAATAATTATATGATATATATAAAATTACTCGATTTCCCCACTGTTACGCCACAGTGCACGACACCCGAGTGCCCAGCGCACCTCTTGAACGCTGAATCAAATCGAGCGACTGGTGCCTGACTATGTCAACTATCTTCATGTGAAGTATCAATTACTGTCAAGACCTATACATGAATCAAGAAAGTATTACCAAGAAATATAATATTGTAATACAGCCTTCGATGTCAGAGACAGAGTGCGCTCTATATGTGTGTCCATGGCATAATTATATCTGGCAAACAATCTTAGTCGGATGATGTACGCCGGCGTTCTTTACAACCTACAGGTATTTGACAAGTGAAAATCAGATAATCAATCTCAGTGTTTTTATTCAGGTAAGCGTTTCATTTCCGTATATGAAGAAAACAATATGAAGCGAGAAATTCATTAAAAAATCCCTTTATTGAAATATCTGTGGACAGTCTATATTCAGGGAATTTTTTGACAACTTAGGGCACATATAGTTACTGTGGTGTGTCAAATTATATGTATTGTACACCTGAGCGCCGCCAACCCGGATCTTTGTTGGACAATAATGCGGTTATTTTGACTGCTGAAAATAACCGGGTTTGCATAGAAATTCTCAATAGTGTGATATAAAGGGTTACAGCCAAAACATTACAGGTAGAGAGGCACAGGCTAACGCGTGCTCAAATAAAAGGCCTACTGTATACTGTATCAACTTCAATGTCGACAAGGCCAACAGCGAAACAAGCAGTGAACGTGAGTTGCCCTTTTTCTTATTTTTTCTTCTAAATTCCGTAAGTTTGTACTTTTTAAGAAAACGTTGCACTTAATGGAATGTAGATCTGTAATGATGTGTTCTTACAGTGCCACGTAAAAATCTGCGGTTTTTAACTGAAATAAAAATCTCTGAACTACTGTTCTTTACCAAGACCAAACGTTTATCTTTAACACATTTACCTGCATAATTAGGTCGTTCAAAGACGTAGATGAATCCGTTCGATTCTCAAGTTCTTAAATGTCTCAGTCTAAGGACATCGTATCCTACGTACCCTGTAGGTACACGTACGTCACATGTAATATGTAATAGGCCTATGTAATATGCTATCTTATAATTTACATGTTCACGATGCACCAGTACTGGGCACCAAGTGTATATGGAAGAAACTTTTTGTTCAAAGTAGTCTCTAATGATTGCAACTTGGACATTATCTCAAGGACAGTGCTGTATAAATTGCTTTTTTATACTTATTGATTTATTCATTCATGTATCTATTTACATATTTACCAATTTGTATTTTCTTTGTATTTCAGTACAGACGAGGCAAAAATGAATAAACTTGTTTTCCTGTCAATGGTCACGGTCCTCGCGGCCAGTGTGGTCGGTCTTAGCAAAATATGCACTCCCCAGCCTGCCTTTGATGAGGGCAAGGCGGTGATCGTTGCCCTGGGAGAGGTGCACCATCCTGCCAGCCTGGGAAACAGGGGCTGTGACCACGCCTTGGACTCCTTCGTCGTACAGGAGCTTGAAGCCTTAAGATGGGCGGTTAACCTTATAAATTCAAATAATTTCACTTCTGGAGTTACGTTAGGTTTGTTTAATTCTTTATCACATGAACCGAGTCATAAATTAGAAATTTACCACGCACTTGTGTAACGGCATGTATTTTAGATACAAGTATCACGATGAATCTGTTTGATAAGAATCTATGTGACTAAGTGTACTACTGGTAAATATATTGTTTAATCTGAATAATAAAAGCCACTCCTTTCTCTCCAAGTTATGACTTGTGGGGCTATTGAGCTAGAACCACATCCACTCAAAATATTAATCGACAGTTTTTTTTTCTTCAGGACTAAGTATGTTGGATACTTGCGGCAACCCTTCCCTGGCTGTCCAAGGTACCCTCACACTAACGCCTAGCTTTTACTTGAGGGAATACACCGATTGCACTCCCGTCAATAACAGTGATGCTTTCATTGGTAAGTTCTCGCATTAACAACGTAAAAGCAATTTCTTGGTAAGAAATGCTTCACTTCACTTCACCTCAAAAATAAATTGTCAGACATTTTTGAAGCTTTTTGTTGAAGAATTCAACTCAGGTAGGAGACGGTGGTGGTTGAGGGGCGTTTGCTCTTAATCAGTCTGATCTACGCTGTGTGAATTAACAAAGTACGCGTAGGTTTTGTGGTGAAAAGGTTCACATTTTCATAAAAAACAAATCTCTAAAATCGCTGGCCAGAGAACTCCGACTCCACAACGCCCCCCCTCTTTCAATAAAACTGGTCATTTTTGTATTCAGAAGATATATGTCGTTGCAAGTCGATGAATCTGATTCTTTCACCTTTCGCCATTATAATTCATACACTGTACTTCCTTGAGTTATCACCTGTAATTATGTGTTTATTTATTTATTTATTTATTTATTTATTTATTTATTTATTTTTGAACGTCACGTAGAACAGCCATAGAATGGTAAGCGACCAAACAATCGCTTTATTTTGAAAAAAGAAAAGACTTGCCCATTTACTTTTATCCCGTTTTCCACTGACTTGCTTAGATTCAAAGAAGTGGACAGTGGCAATATTATAATAATAATAATAATTATTATTATTATTTAGTTTCTAAAATCCAAAATTTTTTGTAGACTTTACAATGCTATGAGAATAAAGAATAACAAGGGCTAGTGAAAGAAAAGGAAACATTGATTAAAACAAATGACTGAAATAATGTAGAATAAAACGTGCACCTTTATCAATCCCTTTGTGCCATAAACAGAAAAAAAAGCGAAAAAAAAAAATTAAAATTGTGGGGGAAGGGTTCCTGTTTTGAAAGATTATATTACCCTCCCCTTTCGTTAAATTTTACAGAGGCAATTATTGCACGGGTCTAGCCAACAGATAGGGTATAAAATGGGCTTATGATTAAAATTCAGGAACTGATAATAAGTTTTATGTAATAATACTTGCCAGGTGTTCTGGGACCTACTCGCAGTAGTTCTGCTGCCGCCGTGTCGGGCGTGCTGGACGGTAGGCACATACCGCAGATAGCGTACTCTACCACTGCTGAAACGCTCGGTGACAAGACCAAGTATCCGGACTTCTTCAGGACTGTTCATTCTGATAAGGAACAGAGCAAGGTAATCCTTTTCGAATTATTCTTTTATAAGTTCGCGTAAATTAATGTTATATCATATATAAACATAGAGACAAAAAGTTAAGCAAATCGACATTTTATGCTCATATATGTGTGTGGGCTATTATCTCAAAACTACCATACGTAATCTAACTTTATATCACATGCAATAAGAGGTTATCAGTAAGTCATAAGATGCGGCCAGAATTGGCAATTGAGAAAGGGCACAATTCACGTGTTATTTATTAGTTTGAGAGCCAGCTCGAACTTCCATTTATCAAAATAAATAATTCTTTCCACTAATTTCACGGAAGTTACTAACAATATCAGTCAAAGTTTTTATGTTAATAAGGGATTTTTCCGCCTGGGTTAGATTCCATAAGCCCAAAGGGATATCCCAACCATTAAACAAATGTTTGACATACTTATTCATTAAGTTGTCCTGGGTGTCCAGTCAGTGAAGCTTCCATGTATCAGATATTGATAACTTTTTTCATAATGCAAATTATTCACAACAAATATGTTAAAATTATGTTCGTTTGTATTGTATTTTTATAATGATATTTTCATATTGATAATGAACTTCTTACCGTCCTTAAATTTATTTTCAACACTTAAACGTGTGTGTCTAAATTTTTTTTTCGTCGTAGGTCATGTTTGCTATCGTTCGTGAGTTAGGATGGAAGTACATAGTAACTGTCAGCAGCGATGACAATTATGGAATCGAGGGAATGAAAGAGTTTAGGCGGCTTGCAAAGGCAGACGGAATATGCATTGGACTCAGCGAAGTTATAGCAGACAACAACAACGACCCGTTGGTTTTGCGAGATATATTTGACAAATTGGTTTTGGAAAGTCGACATACAGATGGTCCTCTTGGCGTCGTCTACTTTGGCCCATCACCAATAGCCAAGGGGTTAATAAAAGAACAGCATAGACGCGGACTGAAGAACATATATTGGGTGATGCCAGACGCTGTCGGAGGGGCATCTCACCTTTTCGGCGATCAAGCAAGTACAGCCGTTGGTATCCTGAGCATCGCACCGGCACACATCGCTATTGGATCATTTCTGGAAGATCACTGGAGACCTTTGCTCCGAAATATAAGCAAAGTGTCCGCTTATCCCGATAACGTGCACACACGGTGGTTGCAGGAATGTTTCATGAAGATGTTTTCATGTAAATTTCCAAATATGCCGTCATCCTTAGTGCCTGATATAAATGCAAGATTTTGTGGCTCTGTGCCTGAGAACGAGATAGCACAGAAGACTTTGCATCAGTCGCCGTATCTCGTGCAGGCATTGCATGCTCTGTACGCGTACGCCTTAGCGCTGAAAAATTGGCGCATCTTCCAAACCCCTTCTGGCACGCTCTCTGCAAGAGAGTTGCTCAGAGAAATTCCGAAAGTCATTGTCGATTATGCCACTCTTGGTTTTGCCGCCCCACGAGAACTTAGGCAAAGCAGAATCAGGTTTGAGTTCAGTGGGACTGGAGATTTCAATGTACTTAATGGATTAACAACCATGTTTAATATTTACAATTTCAAAGATGATGGGTCTTTCAAATCTGTTGGAAACTATGGTTTAAACGGACTTAGTCTCGACAAAGACAGTATTGTGATGGACAATAACTACGGATCGCTCGTGTCTGGAGTTCATCTTCCTGTACCTTCTTGCAAAAGAGATTGCCAGAGGTGCAAGAAAGTTTCTGATGTTCCCTTCATCTACATCCCTGGGGACTTGTTAATTGTCGGATTGTTCTCTGTCCACGATCAGGGGAAGAAACCTTTTGAATGTGGCGACTACCGCAGTCTCACAGGTTCTGCGCAGCTGGTCGAAGCATTCATGTTTGCTTTGGAAGCCAACAACGCGTCCGGCTCTAATTTTGGGGCTATTGTATTTGACGATTGTTACAACCCATTAGTAGCTACCAAGACACTGTTAAATTTTCTAAGTGGGGATCTAAAACTGACCGATCCAGTGTCGGGAATCGCGATAGATGCTGCTAAAGCCATTGCTGTTATTGGTGCGTTCTCAAGTTCGGTAACCATCAGCATAGCAGACTTTCTCACTCCGTTGCGGATTCCGTTGATTTCGTACGGTTCGGCCAGCACCATACTCGATGACAGATACAGGTTTCCATTCTTTTTGAGAACAGTGTCAAATCTAGACCAACAGGCCGAAGCCATGGTGGCGTTATTAAAACAGTTTGGTTGGAACTACGTCATAACGCTTAACTCAAAGAATGCGTACGGTCGAAATGGGTATGAGCTATTCAAAAAACACGCTGACAAGAATGGAATTTGTATTGCCCGTAGTAACGAGTTGTCTCATGAATTTGGAAATGCAGATGCAAAGCTGCAAAGTATTCATACTGCCATCAATGACATTCTTCCTTACGCGTCGAAAGCCAGGGTAGTCATACTCATAGCCGATGACATTCATGCAAAAAATGTTCTTCTCACTATCGAGGAGCGCAACAAAAATCTCCCGCGGCCTCTCGGATTTATTTTCATTGGAAGCGAGGCATGGGGGAGAAGTTCAAAAGTCATAAAAGGAGTCGGAGAAGTCGCTGTTGGACACATTACTGTTGGGATCTATCCGCAACGTGATTATCATTTCGAACGATATTTCATAAATAAAAGACCGTCGCTTTCACACCGCAATTTTTGGTTTAATTTATACTGGCAAGACCATTTTCATTGTGATATAGAAGGTACCTTTGACCATAAATATGGAGTGCCGTGCCGGCCTTCAATGAACTACAATGATCCTGGGAGAAGTTTCGAACCCGACCCCTGGGCCGCGTACACTGTGCTTGCTGTGAACGCCACAATTAGAGGGTTTAGGCAAACGATGAGGACCCACTGTAACAGCCGATCAGACACAGCCTGCCTGGTGGAACTTAAAAAACTGGACAAGGTTGAAACGCTTGTGCAGAACATTCAGAAGACAGAGTTGCTTGATGCAAATGGTAATATTGTAAGGCCATTCAACGATGATGGGAATGGAAATGCTGGATTTTCTATTTACAATATTCAGAGAGATCCTGTGACTCCCCAAAACTTGGAATATAAAAAGGTACATGACAAAAACAAAATTTGAACCGGGGGAGGGGGGGGGGCTTTAAAATGAATATTTTCTAATTATTTCCCGAAGGATATGAATATGTTGGTAATTGAAATACAACTACTCCTTTTCCAAATAAATTTGAGCTCGCAAATTACATGCATGTTTGCAACATAACGGCAACTTAATAGCCTACATGACAATTACATGATGTGTATTTTTATAATAATTTTAAAAAAGGGGGTGGAAAAGGAAATGCAATCCATCTTTTATGAACATTATATAATATAATACTCTTCCAGTATTTCAACAGATTATGTTAATAATAATACTAATCATGGGTATTTTTATTTCTTGTTTTCAGATAGGAACATATCAAGACCTACTTGTGCTTGACAGAGATAAAATAATTTTGCCAGACGGAGAGCCTGCGCAGGGTGGCGAGTCCTCGTGCAGCCGCTGCTTGGAGTGTCCAGATATTTCTACCAACGTTGAACCAGGTGATTCAGGACACTCGAAGCAAGAGGTCGACGCCAAAGCTGTTGGGTTAATTGTACTTGGTGTCGCCCTAATATTATTTATTGGTGCAGTGGGATTCATCTTCCGGCATATGTGGAAAAAACATCAACAAGGTAGGTGAATTGACGCAGTTTCGGGGTTAGAAATCTATTTCAACTACATAAATGACTCTGAACTATTTGTTCTTTCTGTATAAGCTCGGTACATTGTAAAGACTGTAAACAATGACTGGAATTCTAGGGCAAGGAAAGTCGACTTTTTTTACATTTTCTACACAACCGATTTTAACAAATGGTAATTTTTCATGCGTGTGAAATTTACAAAAGCTAATATAACTTTTAAAAATACCGAACTTTTCTGCTAGATAAAATCGTCTCTTAGTTGTGCGGTATATAGTATAATATATACCGCACGAAGGTACAGGAAGATTAACTCCAGACACGATATAGTATAATATAGTATAATATAGTTTATATTAATTAAAGCACCGCTGCAACGAAGATTAAAAGGATAATTCTCGGCTTCATTTTGGTAGACAGATATTGAATGTCTAACCTGAAGTCCATTGTAATGAGCAAGTAACATGCTTGTAATATAAACATCATAAAGAAAAATACGTTTACTGAATTAAACTGTTATTTCAGTTCAAAAGCATCAACAAAATGGCTACAATAAAGATCGTCCTCTGCCGCAGACCCCGGAAGAGGAAGATCGGCGAATATACACGGTGCTTCCTGAATCTAGAGAGACAGTTCCATCGGTGTTACGTCACCCATCGTCACAATGCTCTAGATGTGATCAGAGATCCCCTCATGACAGTGACCGAGACATTCCGTCTACCTTAGACAGTGGCCGCGGCAATTCGTCCACCTTGGACAGCGGTCGAGACATACTACCCACTGTGGGTAGTAACGGACAAATTTCCCTCTCTGTGTCCACTTCGCCCATCGTGAATAGTGCTAGTTATCTTAATGTACATAAAAATGATCAGGAGCCAGAGGATCAAGGCACATATAACATTAGCTTTGAAAACGATTCCGACGGAGAGAGCTCCTTGCGGAATGTATTTGTCTAGTTATTAATTTCAAATAATATTTTATGACGAATTTCATGTACATAAAAAATGCGGCATGGTCACTACTGTACATGTATCAACCAGTACTAAAGGTGGATGTTTTAAGAAAACAAATTTTTACTTTTTCAAATTCTTTGTTATTAATGGGCAACCTGCAGCTTTGTTAAAAAAGTTAAACATCGTTAAGTAGAGTATTTTACTATCCGAGAATTCATGTATTGGTAATTAGTATTTTACGGTGGGGGCACAACATAACATTCACTCTAACACTTGGCACCGTGCAATTTATTGATTTTATATGAAATGAAATAGATTAAATGAAAAAGTGGTTTTGAGAGTAAAAAAAAAAAAAACAAGTTTAGTTACCGAAATGACAATGCAAAACAAAAAAAAAAAGCAATTTCAAATATAGCGAGGGAGAATATTAATACATGTATTTTCTTGTCACCCTGTAAATTCTACATTATTTTATTTAGCTAAAAATCTTGTTGGATCAAAAAGGCATAGAAACCTGGGCTCCGTATCTCGAAAGGTTCGCTATGTTGCGCACGTGTGTTAGTGTCTCGATTCCATAACCGATTCTATTTCGAGATACGGGGCCATGAAATCGAGACTCACTTGCACGTACGCATCACTACTACATGTGTACGGACACAACATGGGAATGTACACTGCAGGGGTATGGTCACTACATGAAGAATAAATAGAGTATTTTGCTGTTATACTGAATAAATTTTACAATTACATGCATCTTTTTTAACAGTCAGAGTCACCCTATATGCACTACGCTAATTATAAATCTGGAAACTGCGTTAGTGACAACTAATAAACCTGTGAAATATTTTCATGAGCATGTGCATGAATGTGAATTTATTATGTGATGTGGACTTTAAAATTTTTGGCAGTGAGTTGTTAAAAGTCATTGATATGACCTCATTCCATTGACAACATCGGTCTACGTAGATTGATCGAACTTTGCGGGGACTCGTGCTGAGTACAGTCAACTGAATAACACGTTTCCTCAATGTTTCCAGTGTACTCGTACAATCAACAGCTTCTGTATTGTACACAATGCCTTGAAGAGGCTTGTCATTGAGTTAAATTCAAACAATTCCTGCAAGATTGGATCGATCTTCGCAGAGCGATGGGGCCTATGGAAATGAGTCTAAATTGAGAAATATTTAACGATTGGTGCATTTTGAAAAAAGAATTCGGCCCAATATGATCTGATCAGAATGAAACCACTCGCAAAAGTAACATATCAAGGATATTAGAAATATATCCAGTTCCATTTTGTTTGATTTGACAAATATTCATTCATATTCATTTTTATATATTTATATTATAATATATACAATATAATATATTTATATTATATTATATGTGAATTTCTTTATAACCCCTCATATTGACACAGTTACACTGGCTGCCCATGTTTTTGTTTTAATGTAGTCTTTGGAACTTTATTATTATTATTATTATTATTATTATTATTATTATTATTATTAATTCGTTTTTTGGGGGGTTACTTTAAATGTGGGCCTTTTAAATTAATATCAAAAGACATACATGAATGTGTCATGTCTTTTTACAGAGATGTAATAAATGTGTCTTCATTTGACATTTTTAGTCATGATTTAAAGAGGAAGAATATTTATGTAAAATAGTCGACCATGGGGCAGATATTATTTACGATCTAATCTTTTACCTTTACACTGCACGTTGTTACATTAGTAACTAAACTTTCTTATAAGAAACAACATTACAAGGTACCAAAAGAAAAAAAACTAAATTTTGCGAAGTAAAATTTCTAAAGGGTGAATTCCATTTTGTCTGTTTATGGCCATTAATAATGACTTCAGAAAAATATAATAAGTAATGGCAAAAGCCCTCTGCTTTCACATTAGTACACTTAGATATTTAGGACTCAGAATGTAGGAGAGAACAGAAATATTGTAAAGTTGTGAGTCCTGAAGGGAAACCATTATGTCGCATCTGTGAGAATCACTGTAAGTTCCGCTTTGATTCTTTGTCCTCTTCTTATTTTTATTATTATCATCCGTATTATTACTTTCCTTTGTCAACATCAATGCTGCCTTGTAATGTATTGTGATACTATTGATGTCTTGCTAAATAAAACTCTTCTTCCTGATTCTATTTTAAGAGATGGAAATTCCACATAGCCATGTTAAATTCAATGTTAGGTTTGTGTATTTGACCTCTCCTTTCGAAGTAAAGTGTCCAACGACCCGTAAGAAATAACGACATACCTGTTGCTTATGCTGGCCTTGACGTCGTGGACCCCAGATGTAAAGACACATGTACAGCCCACCAGGTGGGAAATTTCAGATGGATTTACTTTCCACGTTTCAGCCACACTTTTACAAACCGCAAAGCGAAGGGTTCGGGAGCATCTAGTGATGAAGTGTAAAGTGAGTATGATCACAGTAAAACGGCTGGTGCAATCAATGGGTAAAAAGAGGAAGTGTGCATATGAGGAAGATGAAATTTTGATTAAGAGCGGGTCTTTTTCTGGCCAACTGTGCATTTCTTTCGAACTCCTCGAGTACACATACTGCCCAACAACGATATACCGATATACCACTTGTATGTCTTTTTTTGAGAACTTATCAGTAGATTGCGAGCAATTTACTAATAAATTCTTGGGGAAAACATATCAAGTTATCACGAAAAGGGGGACAGCAAACAACATATTTGATGCGCTCAACTGCCCCTTGGACATACATGTATTAACGAATTTTGTAATTTTGTCCATGACTGCTTCTGTTACAGTATTTTTTGTGTTATTATTGTCTACACATAAAACTTTCGCCAGAATAGCATAACGCTGCACGTTAAACTCTGCCTCGTTAACAGTAATAATCAAATGGACCACAGTCAAATATATCCCAACAGAAACTGTGGTCGGATAATGTCACTTTTTTTTACATAATAGTGTTATTAGTGATATAAGTCATAAATTTTATATACATTTTGTCTTAAACTTTCCTTGAAAGTGAATAAGCAAAAACGTTAGTGTGAATGACATTTTTTCAAACCTGGCGGGACGATGGCAGGATCAAAATACAAGCCAATTAGGTTGGATAATGTTCCTGATAAGAAATTCCATAGGTGGCGTTCTTTAAGCAGAATATCGAGGGAAGCGCAATATTTTCCGCAAAACTTACTGTTGTCATATTTTGTACTAAAGCACAACAGGTTGGAAATTGGGTCTGTAGGGACAATTTTTTTCTGAAAATTTTTACCTTTTTGCCTCATCATTGCAGATTGCAACAATTACTTAATAAGACTAAAGACCGTAGTGTTTCAGAAGTTTTTATTCAGTTTTGTTATTACAATGTAGGTAAATTTTAAGTGAAAAGTTCTGATTCTTACTCTGATTTGAGTAATAACTTGATATCTAACAATTTCCATTTTCCTGCTTATTGTTTGTTATTTTGTATTATACATTTACTTTTAATGCATCTTTTTGACCGGGATGTCCGAAAATTCTTCTTTGCTTCAAATATTATTTATAGAAATCTAAATATCTATAGCCAGTTTGAAGCAAAACAGAATATTATCATGTACAACACGGTAGCTGTAAAATCCAATTTATTTAAAACTTGATAATGTCTTATGTAAGTATTTATTACAGTTGATGTCCTGAAGTGCTGGCATTCTGTAAAGCATTACTACAATCTAGGATCCAAAACAAAATAAATATGATTTTGGATCTTTGCTACAAGGCACCTGATAAAAATACCATGTCTTCGGAGTAGGCAGAACGCTCGTAGGCCTGCTGTATTCAAAAAAATTAAAATAGAGAAAAAAACAACATTATGTTCATTTTGCACTTGTTTTTAACACTAAATATAAGTTAAAACTACATTTGATTTCTTTTAGATGGTCATGACCACGGTGTCTATGATCACGGCCCTGTCTCTGTTTTCTGTTGGTGTTGTACAAAGTCAAGGTGTGGATGGAGGATCGTGTTTTCAGGCAGTCAGAACAAACAATACTATAACGTTTTTGGCCCTACTCAGCATCCATCAACCCAGCGCCTATAACACCGAGTGTGCAGTTATCTCCACGATGGATGTGCAGACGATGGTTGCCGTTCAGTGGATGACAACACTTATCAACGAACACGACTTTATCCCTGGAGTAAAGCTTGGTGAGCTCAAAAAATATTTCTAAAAGTAAGATGATATAAGTGAGTAAGCCCATCGGATGCCACGAAGTTTCTCCACCATTGTCAGTGTATATTCTTTATTCAAATGATTTTACGTGGTATAGATATTTCTTTTTGAACCTGTGTAAAGAGACCACATGTAACAAAAGATTACTGAAAAACACCTCAGATAAGATACAAAAAAGCAGAGATTGAAATAATATATTTTAATACGTTAATCTTTTATCTTTTCTGTAGACATGAAGATGTATGATACGTGTGGGAATCCTGCTCTGGCAACCCGGGCGGCGCTCCAAAGTCTCCCCGATATCTATCCTAATTACTATCCGTCCTGCCGACAGGATATCGAGCACACACCAGTTCTTGGTAAGTACATTTGTGGCATCAAATTAATAATTTTCTTGATGGAATCAGTGTGCAATCAAGAAATAGGCAAGCTGAACCATCTTTTAACTTAAACTGAATATTTAACTCTTCATGACAACCTTTTTGTAATACCCTGTTGGTAAAATACTGATGAGCTTCTTTAGGGCGTAAATCAAATGTTTTAAATAAAAACTACAGGTCCCTACCTAAGCGAAATCTACACATTACAAATATAATAGTCTTGCAGATTTGCGTTTCTTAATGAAATTGCATTGTTTGGTTGAAGTCGAGTTTACTGCCACACGACAAAACCAGTTAACAAACATCACTCCAGTGAGGGCGCCCTGGCCGTGATAATGGATACGTACATGTATTTACTGGAAATGCGCGGTAAAAAGAGCGTGACCCAGGAGAAAGTCAAAATAACACTGAAAAATGAAATGACGTCAAATCGATCCACATAAGAGTTGGGACTTTTTATTAGGCATTGCATTGCTTTGTATGTTTCTGCAACGGTTCATTGATGTTTTTCAGGTGTATAAGCTGTGATTGAAATCCTTTCACTTTCAAACCTTTGCTAATACTTTTTTGCACTGTGATATATTTAGAATAAATGTTGCCATTATTTATTTAGTTACCGTGTATTTCATCCCTTTTTTTTTTTGTAATGTGCACGCCTGAAAAGCATGTAAGCCATTTTATACGAATATCAAATAAACCAGTATTGTCAGTTCCACTTGGTTTTTAACAATTTTTCCAAAAACAGATTTTTACAAAGCCCACACAGATTCTTGTATGA